TGCATGTAGATATAGTAAACATTTGCATATGGTGATCAATTTAGAAGATTTTCACTGAATATATCGTCAGTGTTTTTTTTTTTTTACATCTCAGGTTGTGTACCAAGTAGTAATGCTTCCCCATTAAAAAGAACAATGAGAAAGGTATTGAGTTTGTAGAAAATTAAAAATTCCAAATTAATTGAAAAATGCATGTTAGCTAGATTTACACTGTAACCAAGGTACAGTATAGTGTTGTTGCTCACATGCACTAAAAGCTTGATTGCATTCATTTCACAATATGACTGCAATGGAAGATATTTTCCATCGCATGACTTTGGTCATAATCATGATCATACCTTGATGAATGTTAGAGAGAATCTTCCACATACCCACACAACCTCCGTCAAGATCTTAGCACAGGCATTTGATTTTGTTAGTATTACAACTCCACAATAAACAGTCATGAAGGACGTACAGTATACAGTATACATTCGGATGTTATTCATATGGCCGTGAATATGAATATGGCCGAAATTCTCTCAACAATGTTAACTTTGACTGCATTAGTTCCAATAGCTCTGTCTTAGTTCCAATCTCACCAATATCTCTGCCTCAGAATGTCTGACCCTCACAAGGTAAAGTGTGTAAGGGAGAGTGGGGTAAATTGAGCCATTTTTACATTCAGCATCACTCGGTCAAGGGAAATATAGTATTCTTTCTAACAAAGATATCGACATATATGTTGTGTATCCCTGGAAATAATCAAAATTAATGTAAACGTTACAGTTTTGAAAACATAGCTTTTCTATGGCACAACTACAGTTAAGCCGCCTACACATTTCTATACTGAATGAAATATGACCACTACCTTTTTAAAAACATCTTTATTTCCCAGACACAATTCAACACAGTTTTTAAAGTGGTGCTCACAAGCCAAAACGGGTCCCCGTTTTTGTGTACTATGTCATCCAATTGTTTACTAGGTAATCCATTTAGAGACATATGTTACGAATTTTGCAATTGTATGATATCATACACATTTTATAATTTGTGTGATATGTTACAAATCCAATTCATGCAATATGTTACGAATTTGTTGTGCTTAACATACCGGAGTAAATCTCCAACACAGGCTTAACACCTAACAACCACTTTGTACTTTTTTAAACACTTTTAACATTTGCCAGGCTCTGTTGTTACCTCATAAACCAGCGACATTGCCTTGCATTACGCCTAGGAGAAAACACTTAAATTTGCTCAACTTGCCATTGGCTCAACCATAGGCTCAACATACCACATGGCCATTGGCTCAACTTACCTCAAGGCAAACATTTTGACTGTATAAGCCCACACAGCTACAAGAATGCACTTTCATGCTAGGTTTAGGTCCTCATATTGAAGCTTATGGAGAACCCAACTGATATATAGAACAATCTTACAATGATCTACTTTGGTTTAGATACAAGCATCATGAAACCTCTAACACAATAAATTGGTGAAAGTTTCGACCTAAGTTGCTTATCACTATTCCATGTGGTTTCTTCCTTCACAGACTCCATGAAATTATGACCTCTTCAGAAATATGTGGTCAAAATTATTAATTTTGTGTACGGTTTCCTAGAAACAAGGATGGCTCAACTTAACCCTTTTGCTCAACTTACCCCACTCTCCCCTACTGTTCAGATGTGTCTTTCTGAGTGTCTTTTCACCAGGCAGGCCAAAACTCCACCCCACCAAAACAGGCTTATATTTCAGGCAGTATTTTCAAACAGCTATTACACTAAAAGGGCATTATCATCATTTTCACAATTTCACAGTATTATTCCAAACCTCATAGTGTGGAAATATACACTGAGTGTACAAAACATTAAGGACACCTTCCTAAATTGTGCTACTAATGCACATGACGGCACAAACACGTCTCGTAAAAGTAATGATGTTTTTGTTTGGTTAGCTTTTGGAAACGTTAGCTAACGCATACAACTTTCCCTGACAACACACTTATAATAATTTTCAAATTAACTGATATCGTCGGATGGCTAGTATTCGATGTCTGCGGATGTGTTGTCTTCTAGCCAAGATATGAAATGCAATCATAATTGACTGTAGCACATATAATGCACACACAACAGCTACTGGTGGATCCATGATGACTGAAAACACAACCGTGGGACGAATGACTGACGAATTTCCGGTCAAGGGCGGCCCATTTAAAATGAATTCATCCTTCCCTCGGCCGATGCCCTGCAAGTGTCAACTCATCAGACGTCATGATACGTCATCAGAAGTGTCCACTTAATTTGAGTGTTTGGAATGCCCACTGCCATGCAAAGGGAGGTGTCTTTAATGTTTTGTACACTCAGTGTATATAAAACACAGGAAAATCACCTTTTTGACTGCACTGGGCCTTTAAAGCGTAACGGTATGTATAAATTATTAAATAGTCCATTTCAATCTACGTTACTCAATTAATTTGGAATTTGGAAATTGGCTACAAACTCAATACCTTTCTCATTGTTATTTATAACGGGGAAGCATTACTACTTGGTACACAATAAATATAAACCTGAGATAAAAAACACTTTAGTGAACATTTTCCAAAATGATCACCATATCCAAATGTTTATATTTACTATATCTAAATGCAATTCGTTACATATGATAATAAAACACTAATGGTTGGCCCTGCATAAAATATTTGTCTTGGATTAAGTGTTTTTACCCTGACAAGGGGGTGGCTAAATTCCCATAGAATGATACCACAGAGAGCACGTCATCAAATGCTTTAGAAATTATGTGTATTTATTTGTGTGTCATAAGTTACAGTCATCATCTTCAATAAACTGTCATCATGGATTCTGAGTATATATATGGTATATACATTTATTTTGTCTTTTATATTCAGTGAAAATTGCCTAAATCTACCAGTACCTCAAAAATGTCAACTTTGACTGCATTTACACCTGACCCCTTAGTTCCAATATCTCTGCCTCAAAATGCCTGATCCGCACAAGGTAAAGTGCTTATTGTTCAGAAGTTTCTTTCTGAGTAGTAAGAGGTATTTTTGTTTGTTAAAACCGAAGCTTGACCAAAATGATGGAAATTATGCTTTTCTTGTGTACATGCCTGGCTTAAAGCTCTCTGGCCCAGAAATTCAGATTCTTACGAGGTAAAGTTTTCCTGGTCCAGTGGGGTCCCCCACAATTATCTGAGAGGGTCTACATCATCTAAAAATGGTTCTTAGTGGCGCTACAGACCACAACTGTAGCGGAACAAACCTGAATTGTAATATTTTCTGTATATTTGCATTGTTTAAAGCATAATAATTGTATGAAAAGTAACTATTAATGCATCCATTCCATAGTCTAAGTGTATATGTTTCAGAATCCACTCCATTTTATAAAGGAATTTCAGGATATGTGACCTAAATGTATCATTATATCAATTTTCACCAGATTTGACCCCTTGAATATTGCCTTAAAAATCTACATTTCACGTGACATACGGCCTAACTAGCATGTGTGACAGCCTTTAACAAGCAAATTATCTTTCAAGTACTTTTTCCAGTTTGGCTGGTCTACTGCCATGGGTTCATTTACAATAGTCTTAGGGCTGGATTCAATCTGTATCGCAGAAGTATAGCGGAAGATTATAGCTCTATTGAAATTTAAAGTCAATGTACCCGTGTTTGCGGAGACTGCATTCACGGTAAACGCTGCATATGTCGGCTCATTCAGAAATTACCTAAAATGTTTGTGCGGATCTTCCGCGATACTTCTACGATACGGATTGAATCCAGCCCTTAATTTGCAACCTTCGCCCTCCTTTTCAGCATTGATCTGAAAGATCATATGATGGTGTGATATACTGTAGGACTCCCAACTTGCAACCAAGCAGAGGTGAAGTGGCTCTGGATAAGAGCGTCTGCTAAATGACTAAAATGTAAATGTAAATGTGAAGTGAGGGTAAGGGGTGAATCTTAAAAATAATAAGGAATCCACTGTATATTTACAAATATTTTATTCCTACACAGAATAATGTAATTGTTGTACAAAAATAAAGGAAACCATTTCAATAATAATAATAATAATAATAATAATAATAATAATAATATTGACTGTAATTGCTCTGAAATACTGAAACAACAATGAAAAAACTAAACTAACCTTGTAACCTGGTTAGGTTTTCAGCCACAAGACTATTTCCTTCCTTTGTGTGAAATGAGACATACTGCAGGTTGAGTTCCTTGCCACTTGTTGTGATCTTTTTTATGTTTCAAACCCAAAATATCGAACACAATTCAAAGTCAAAGGATCCAGCAACACAAACCCCCGGGATATGTGACCATGACAATAAATATAAATCTACAGTCCATAAAAATGACCTCATATGAAACGACAATAAATAAATAACTTATCTGTAATAAATATGTTGACTATAATGCAGTAATGCAAAGAGATGCATGGCATCCATTTGGTAGAATTCAAGAGAACATTGAAAAATGCAATTATGGTACGGAAGATCCCTGTTTTGAGCTTGTCTACCTGTGGTCAAATGCAATGAGATATGGTCCTCTTTTAGACCTTTGAGTCAATATTTTAATCAGTACTCCAGGTCAGTTTTATACATATCCCAACTGCTGTGAATATTAAGATCCCACCATTTTGTGGTCACCATCTTGTTAAAAACAGATCCCAGAGACTCTCTTGCCATTCGGTCATGACAGTCTCTCATTGCAACCAAATCCACTTATCCTCAACAGAAAATTGACAACATGAAGAGGCGTGGCCTCACTGACACTACAGAATCATAGACACTACAGAATCTCCATCCTGCTTTGTACTGGGGACCAGCCCTGCTGCATATGTTTTGGAGCGACTACTTCTGCTCTCCCAGAACCCAAAGGCTCTCCCTAGACCCAGCCTCAACGACGAGTCACCATCTGTATATTCTCAGGCAGGGGTGAGTGACAGCCAGTTGCCACCCTCCCCTATTCATCCTCCTCCAGGCTGGCTCCCTCAGCCCATACACATGCAGCTGGCTGCCGACAGCGACTGGATGGTCTGCCACGTGGTGTGGGCGTCCATAAAGGACACTGGCTCGTAGCGGTCAGGCCGGCAGCAGGGGTGGGCACTGACCCGTCGGGAGGTCCTCCGCGGCAGGGACCCGTTCTCCATCAGGGCCCATAGAGCCAGGTCGTAGTTGGTCCTGGACGACTGGCAGGAGCCCACACAGAATTTGAAGAGGACGATCTCGTCCGAGTCGAAGCCCAGGCCCAAGTCCCGCACCCGCATCTCTCGTTTCTCCATCCTGCAGTCTGGGCTGCTCTGCTGGAGCCGCCTGACCTTTCCTTTGGCCTTTTTATCCCTCTCTTTCTCTTTCTTCTTCTTCTTCCTCTTCTTCTTTTTCTTGGGCGAGCCTTTTGGTTCGGCGTCTGAGGGGTCAGAGTTGCGGGGGGAACGTCCCACCCACTGGCCACTGGGGTGGTCGTCCGCTTCGTCCATCATAGAGGGGTCTGAGAGAGAGAGAGCGAGAGAGAGCAAGAGAGAGAGAGAGAGAGAGAGAGAGAGAGAGAGAGAGAGAGAGAACAGTGGCTTATACTCTATAATCGTGTTGCACACCCTTCTTTTACTCTTCCCTATTCATGGAGAACATCATGCTTGATTAACAAGTGCAAGGCTTAAATTTAAGGTACGGTTGAACATTTTGAAAATAAGAGATCTAAAAGGCACTTCCTGGTTCCACTCTTACCAGAGAAGCCATGCCAGGGGGAGTACGGGTCACTCTCCTCCTCTCGTTCCCCATCCACCTCAGGTAGAGTGTCTGGGAGCTGCCTCTCCCACATCCCTCCCACCAGTCCCACAGCCTGGACAGAGTCTGCCCCCAAACCAGTGCCCATATGGGCCCCCTCCACCAGGGGCAGCAGAGAGACCACCACCCACAGCACCACCTACAAAAGCGGACAATAGTTCATGGGAGATGGTCCACAGAGCAGAGAAACAACACAGCCAACAGTATGACAACTATAATAAGGAGGATGACGATGAGATGATATTGATAGGTGATGATAATAGTTGTAGATGATGATGATGGTGATTACGAAGATGATGATCATGATGGTGAAGATAATAAGTCACCTGTAAGCAGAATGAGTCACTCACCTTCCAGTTACTCAGGTGGTAAGGGGCGCCTGCTGACGGCATGGTGGTAAACCCCGGTCTGTCCCTCCTCCTTGTCCTCCATCTTGGTCCACCTGGAGGGAAAGCAGAACAAGGTCTCGCTCTGTCAATTGTCCCGATCTCAAGATCACACTCTGAAAAGAATAACATAAACTAACTGCACAACATGATGTGGCCTGCGATAACGTATCCATATTCACCAATACTGTACAAAAACACCCTTTCAACCCTTAAACAACCCGACGTGTCACATCAATCACGTCCTCAATGAGAAGGATATGTTATTGTTACTGAGGTAAAAAGGCTAGTGTTTGCTGCCGGGTAGTGCGGCTAGTGTCGGCTTGTCTGTACATACAGCCACACAACAGCTCCTGTCCAGCGACAAAGGCTACCTTCAGTCAGATACCTGTCAAAGGCATTCTTTATTTAGGAGGAGGTAGGGCTGGTTCTGTAGAAGGGGCACCGGGGGAAACCACAGAGATGAGGACGGTGGTGATAAGGGGTGCGAGCGTCGCAGATGTTTATATACGAGGTGTACAGTGTGGCCGGTTAGCTGTATGTCAGTGGTAGCACCTCACGCCTCACCCAAGGGCTGTTACTGTCAAGAACCCTAAAAGGCTCAAACACAAATTGAACTGGGGTTCAGAACATCCGCTAAAGGTCCCTGTTTCGATCACCGGTTTCGGCAAGAAATTTGAGATATAATGGTAAAGGTAAACAAACAAGTAAATAGCACTAATAGAGCACATCAGATTCACGGATAGTCTAGCGATTAAGAGCGTTGGACCAGTAGCTGAAAGGTTGCTGGTTCAAATCCTAGAGCTGACTTGGTGAAAAATTGGTCAATGTGCCCTTGAGCAAGGCACTTAACCCTAATTTCTCTTGTAAGTCGCTCTGGATAAGAGTATCTGCTGAATGACTATAATGTTGAAACCCAATGGGTGTTTGCTCCACTTAATTTGTTAAAACAGTCAAGCACCTGCTGCTAGAACAGCAGAGATTAAATTAATCAATTGAGCTCAGAAACGCAACAGAAACCAATGATTCCATCTCTCTCGCCAAAGAGATTAGTTGCCACTTATTAGTCATGGACTCATCCAGGAATAACAGAACTAAAATCACACATAATTGCGCCAGAGATTAGGCATGGATTCAGCACTACTCTCATTGAACAGCTGGGGGCTTATCTGGTCCTGTCTCAGCTCTCCATACACATCCCAGCTGAAGTGCCATGTAAGTAACACCTTAGGAAACGTTCATATGTGGAGGGATTGACTAGAAACAACTCCAGTTCTCAAGAGAATTTGATCTCTTCTAGAAATGTTAAAGCTCATACGATGAACGCAGTCAAACTTGGTTGGTTTCGACATCAACAGATGTTATGGCGAAATGAAATTCAGCTCATGAAGACCAAAAACATTGACACAACATACGGTGATGGTACAGCAAATTCTGTAAAAACGAGCATAGTCCTATATAAGATACATAAACAGTCATCTATCATCCACCAGATAGACGCGATAGCCTAGTAGCTGAACTAGAGCGGGACGTGAAGGTCCATGGTCAGGTATGTAAACTCTGCTGCTCTTGAATGTTTCTAAATACAACCCTCAGGGTACGTCCCCAGTGACACCCTATTCCCTTTATAGTGCACTACTTTAGGCCAGGGCCCATAGGACTGGTCAAAAGAAGTGCACTATGTAGGGATTAGGGTGCCATTTGGGACGCATCCTTAGTCTAAATTCCTAGACAATCATTGTGATGCTATCTTTACTCAGGATGATGGAGGACTGAGAAGATTACAGTACAAAGGTTACGATAGGGTCTGTGTATGCATCTCCGACATGCTGCAGATTACAGAAGCTTGACTATATCAATATAGTTACTGAGAAATAATACGTCAAATCAGGCCCAGGGAGAAAGCAGACATCAATCTCTTACACAATAGAACCTGAAAAGCAGAGATAAATGTGTGTGTTTGTGTGTGTGTGTGTGTGTGAGTGCGTGTGTGTGTGTACACCTGCATGTGTGTGTGCGGAGCAGAGAGACCGAGAGAGACTGCAATCCAAAACCAGGCAGCAAAGTCGCCAACTCCCTCTCACCTAACCTGATTTAAAAGCTGGCCATTAAGAGAGAGAGAGGCTAAAGGGGGTTTTCAACAGATCCCCTCTCGGTCCCTTGAGAGGCCTTGTTCTGTGTCCTTAATGCCACAGCTGGGAGCGTTTAGCCTCTTTTAGCCCTGTACGCTGGGTGTCTATGTGGGCCTGTCTGCACGGCTCACTTCACCCCACCACTCTGGAGCTGTTTACCGTCCAATGCCTCCAGCCCCTCAGGGTAGAAGGTGGAGGTGGGCTGCTGAGTCCTGAAGACCTCCAGATCTTTGGAGCCTGTGCTCATGGTGTGTGTGTGAGGGCGGGAGAGTTGTGTGTGCGTGTATGTGTGTTTGATGTGTCTCATTGTTCTGACTGAAGGGCTTTGGTATGGTCAGCAGCCTGTTCATCTGCAAAACTGCAATAGGAGAGTCGATTGGTTGTCACCTTATATTTGTTTTGTTGGTACATTGCCCACCTATTACTTATACAGTACATTGAATTGTACATTTGTTCTGAGTAAGGTTACGTTTGCACTGATATAGGGAGAATAATGTAAGCTCTCCTTATTAAAAACAGTTATATTAAACAATTAATAATTACATATTAATTGATATTTGTTCAGGGCTTGCACCCAAAACTAATATATGGACAAATGACATTGGTTGAACATAAACGTGTTTCACATTATCATCACCGAGTTGGGTAGCTAGCTATACGGTAACAGAGGCTTCAGAAAGGATCCACACTATTCCAGGTTTTGTTGTGTTACAGCCTGAATTTAAAATGGATTACATTTAGATTTGTTGTCACTGGCCTACACACAATACCCCATAATGAATAGCTGAAATGTCTTAAGTATTCAACCCCTTTCTTATGGCAAGCCTAAATAAGTTCAGGAGTACAGATTTGCTTAACAAATCACATAATAAGTTGCATGGACTCGCTCTGTGTGCAATAATAGCTTTTAAAATATTTTTTGAATGACTACCTCATCTCTGTACCCCACACATACAATTATCTGTAAGGTCCCTCAGTCCAGCAGTGAATTTTAAACACAGATTCAACCACAAAGACCAGGGAGGTTTTCCAATGCCTCACAAAGAAGGGCACCTATTAGTAGATTTTTTTTTTTTTAAGCGGACATTGAATATCCCTTTGAGCATGGTGAAGTTATTAATTACACTTTGGATGGTTTATCAATACACCCAGTCACTACAAAGATACAGGTGTACTTCCTAACTCAGTTGCCGGAGAGGAAGGAAACCGCTCAGGGATTTCACCATGAGGCCAATGGTAACAGTTACAGAGTTTAATGGCTGTGATAGGAGAAAACTGAGGATGGATCAACAGCATTGTAGTTACTCCACAATACTAACCTAATTGAAAGAGTGAAAATAAGGACGCTTGTACAGAATACAAAATCTTCCAAAACATGCATCCTGTTTGCAATAAGGCACTAAAGTAATGCTGCAAATAATGTGGCAAAGTAATGTCCTGAACACAAGTGTTATGTTTGGAGCAAATCATAGTGGTGGCTGCATCATGTTATAGGTATGCTTGTAATCGTTAAGGACTGGGGTGTTTTTCAGGATAAAAAACAAACTTTCCAACAGACACTGGGAGAAGAATCCACCTTTCAGCAGGACAAAAACCTAAAATACATGGCCAAATATACACTGGAGTTGCTTACCAAGATGACATTGAATGTTCCTGAGTGGCGTAGTCACAGTTTTGACTTACAGTACCAGTCAAAAGTTTGGACACACCTACTCATTCAAGGGTTTTTCTTTATTTTTGCTATTTTCTACATTGTAGAATAATAGTGAAGACATCAAAATAATAAAATAACACATATGGAATCATGTAGTAACCAAGAAAGTGTTAAACAAATCAAAATATATTTTATATTTCAGATTCTTCAAAGTAGCCACCCTTTGCCTTGATGACAGCTTTGCACACCCTTGGCATTCTCTCAACCAGCTTCATGAGGTAGTCACCTGGAATGCATTTCAATTAACAGGTGTGCCTTGTTAAAACTTAATTTGTGGATTTTTTTTCCTTCTTAATGTATTTGAGCCAATCAGTTGTGTTGTGACAAGGTAGGAGTGGTATACAGAATATAGACCTAGTTGGTAAAAGTCCATATTATGTCAAGAACAGCGCAAATAAGCAAAGAGAAACGACATTCCATCATTAGTTTAAGACATGAAGGTCAGTCAAACCGGAAAATGTCTTGAAGTGCAGTCGCAAAAACCATCAAGCGCTATGATGAAACTGGCTCTCATGAGGACTGCTGCAGAGGATAAGTTCATTAGAGTTAACAGCACCTCAGATTGCAGCCCAAATAAATGCTTCACAGAGTTCAAGTAACAGACACAACTGTTCAGAGGAGACTGCATGAATCAGGCCTTCATGGTCGAATTGCTGCAAAGAAACCACTACTAAAGGACACCAATAATAATAAGAGAATTGCTTGGGCCAAGAAACACGAGCAATGGACATTAGACCAGTGGAAATCTGTCCTTTGGTTTGATGAGTCCAAATTGGAGATTTTTGGTTCCAACCGCCGTGTCTTTGTGAGACACAGAGTAGGTGAACGGATGATCTCCGCATGTGTGGTTCCCACCGTGAAGCATGGAGGTGTGATGGTGTGGGGGTGCTTTGCTGGTGACACTGTCTGTGATTTATTTAGAATTCAAAGCATACTTAACCAGCATGGCTATCACAGCATTCTGCAGCGATACGCCATCCCATCTGGTTTGGGCTCATTTGTTTTTCAACAGGACAATGACCCAACACACCTCCAGGCTGTGTAAGGGCTATTTGACCAAGAAGGAGAGTGATGGAGTGCTGCATCAGATGACCTGGCCTCCACAATCACCTGACCTCAACCCAATTGAGATGGTTTGGGATGAGTCGGACCGCAGTGTGAAGGAAAAGCAGCCAACAAATCCTCAGCATATGTGGGAACTCCTTCAAGACTGTTGGAAAAGCATTCCTCATGAAGCTGGTTGAGAGAATGCCAAGAGTGTGCAAAGCTGTCATCAAGGCAAAGGGTGGCTACTTTGAAGAATCTCAAATATAAAATATAATTTGATTTGTTTAACGCTTTTTTGGTTACTACATGATTCCATGTGTTATTTCATAGTTTTGATGTCTTCACTATTATTCTACAATGTAGAAAATAGTAAAAATAAAGACAACCCCTTGAATGAGTAGGTGTGTCCAAACTTTTGACTGGTACTGTACATCTACTTGAACATCTATGTCAAGACCTGAAAATGGTTGTCTAGCAATGATCAACAACCAGTTTGACAGAGCTGAAAAGAATAGTTGTCAAATGTTGCACAATCCAGGTGTGGAAAGCTCATAGAGACTTACCCAGAAAGACTCACAGCTGTAATCGCTGCCAAAGGTACTTCTACAAGGTATTGACTCAGGGGTGTGAATACTTATATAAATGAGATATTTCTGTATTTCATTTTCAATAAATTTGCAAAAAAATCTAAAAACATGTTTTCACTTTGTCATTATGGGGTATTGTGTGTAGATGGGTGAGATTTTATTTTATTTTAATACATTTTGAATTCAGGCTATAACAACAAAATGTGGAATAAGTCAAGCGGTATGAATACTTTCTGAAGGCACTGTACATCATTCTGTATTATCCCTCTGTGAAAGCTCTCATAGAAGTGTAGAGCAAGCTAGGCTGGCTTCTGTGTTCTGTCTCACTTTAAAGGGGAAGTTCGGGATTTTACAAATTAAAGTTGAACTCCAGTCTCCTTTCACCTCATTTATCACTTCATTTACTTAACAAAAGGCATATCTCAATAAGTGGTCCAGGTATCCTCATGGCATCGCACAAGTGTGTGTGTGTGGGGGGGGGGGGGGTGGGGGGGCTTTCTTATTTTGTTCTCTATTGCTCCTCTATTATTCCCGCAAGCAAGGGAACAATTACTGTACATTACTGTATTTTTATGTGAGATGTTGTTTTTCAACAGGAAAAGATAGAAAAAGTGTTAGATGGTTCCTTACTCTGAAAGTAGTCTGTGGGCCAGGAGAAATTAGCTAACGCTGGCTAAAGTTTAGGTTTGTCGTGGCTGCAAGAAAATTGAACCATGGATTACAGTTTCTCCTGGCCGATAAACTACTTACAAGGTGAGGAACCATCTAACATCAAGTTGTAAAATCTTGAACTTCCCCTTTAACAGCCCACATCCCATCTCTCCAGAAGAGAACCCTCTCCTATAATGATTCCCCATTTGAGGTGTTCTATCCGCCAGCTCTACCCGTCACAGACAGAGCCCTGCCGCATGGGGGTAGGGAAAGGACCTCACTAAACTACTGCCGCAATAAAAGACACCTGGGGAGAAAGAGGAGAAGAGGAGATGCAGAGTACTAGCCACCGCCGCTGGGTCCTTGCCTGATCATTACCAGACACACTTTTATATGGGGGGTACACAAACTCCCATAACACCTACGATTATATACTGTCCACGGCAAACGTGTTCCCTATTCCTTCTGGTTCCTGTGCAAACCTGTTCTGATATGTACAGTTCACGTCCAGTCAGAACAGACTATTTGTATGTCTGGCGGTTTGCTACATGTTTGTTTGCTTTTCAGTTTTTAGACTGTGCTGGTAGCAAACCCACAAACTCCACACAGTCTTGTACTTGTATGTCTTTACGTGTTAAAGTGTCGGGTTTGGGTTCGATTCCCCCCTACTACTCTGACCACACTGATTGCACTGCTGCGCCAGATGTGCCCTTCTAACTGCTGCTAGACTAGACTACAGTCAGCAGCGACAGAACCAGAGGGTCTGAATACGCTGCATAATCCCCTAATCCCTTCCAGGCTGGAGAGGAGAAGAGGTAATTGCTCGTTAGTGCCAGTTTCCACTCTTTAGCCGAGCTGTCACCGGTGGAAAACCCACAGAACGCTGCCAAAATGAGAAACAGATAGCTGGAGATGTTTGCGGCTCGGATAACCCTAGTCAGAAACGGCAATCAGAAGGTGTGGACACTTCCCTGGGCAGGCTATCCCTGAAGGAGATGCTAGCTAGAGTATCTGGATGGATGATGTCAGTGGGTTTCTTGCACTGAAGAGTTGCTTGAGAGTCTTCTACTGAAGACTGGGACAGTCTTGGGGGTTGTTTCTCAGGTGTATCACAAAAAGATACTGATACACAATAGAATAGCCATTACAGATCAAAGACAGGCTAATAAAATAGTACTAATCTGTGCTTCCGATCATACTAAGAGATCATACAAACGTGCTTAGTCAAGCTGAACAAGCCCAGCCTGG